AGAAGTCAACAATTAGTTGCCCTTCCTTGAAGTCCAAGTTACAAAACTGGCAGACGGAAAGATAGGGACAACGATCTACCGTAAGGCAACTAACTCCAAGTGCATTCTTCACTTCCAAAGGAATCACCCTGCTGGTCACAAACGGAGTTCTGTCAGAACCTTCTTACGACGTGTTCAAACACACTGTAGCGTTAAAAGTGGAAAGCGGGAGGAGAAGAAGTTCTTACTTATCCGAAGTCCTTCATCCGCAAGTGCCTCAAGAAGCCTCGCGTTCATCGGTCGAGCGAAAAAAAGCCAACATTCTGGCTCACCATCCCCTACATAAAAAACTATTCAGAGGCGACTGCACGAATCTTAGAATCCATTGGGATCGGCATGGCGCATAGACCAGATTTTACAGTAATACTGCAAATAATGAAGCCCAAAAATCCCCTATCAGAAACCGAGCAATCAGGCATAGTCTACAGCATACCATGCAAAAACTGCGAGGCTAGATTTGTTGGGAAAACGGGCAAACGCCTGGACACAAGATTGCACGAACACTAACTTGAAATCAATAGCAAGGACAACTGTCTTTATTCTACGTTCATGTGCAATAGCTCAACCACGATTTCACCTTCGAGAAAGCGAGGGTGATCGGCAGGGCCAATGAGAAATTGGGCAGGCTAGTAATGGAGAGTTTTTTTTTCCACTTGTACAATCAACAGAGCTATAGATTTGAACCTTGCCTACCAAGCGCTTCGCACAAGGCTCGGATCAAGTCGGCCAGAGCCATTAGTGCAAACGATTCTGCAGGATAGAGAGCCAACGACCACGGAAAATAGGGATGGAGGTCGGATTTCACTCGACTCACCGTCGCAACCGCGAAGCAAAGAACAACCCAAGTACACAGCAACGAGTAATCAGTCCGCCCGATGACGTGTAGGAGGCCGGCAAGCATATTGTCTCGCCTACAACTACAGTGACCACATAGGTGACGAAGGTCACGAAAGGCCACCAGCAGCCAACCTCCGGGAGACCAAATGGTGTTGGCAACTGACGGGCAGGTCAAAGTTGACACGTCAAACACCGATATAATTTGAGGCAGATGGCAAGGCTGGCTTACTAAAGACCACCAGACGCAGTTACCACAACACTCTGACGATGAAAGTTAGAAGGCTTTCAAAACGTCAGTTCGAATCAAATTTGGTCAATGAACCCGCCCCCTGTTCTTCTTCCTTACGCTTGGGAGATGATGAACGCGATAACATACCTGGACCCCGAATCTTTCGGCAAATAAATATACTGAATTATGCTTAATTGTTTGGAGATCTTGAATTCAAGTGTAGCAGCTGATAGGGTTTACATTTATGCAGTTATTTGCGGGAATTTTTTTAAAATATAACGATGGTCTTTTTTTTCATGAGTAAAATTCACAGAAGACTTAAGTTGCTATCAATCGAGTACAAAAAACATAATATCTAAGTGGCCATTTTTACAGAACGAGCTTTTCACAGGCAGTCATAACGCTGCTGTTTCAAAAGCTGGCAATTAGTCGTAGCTTAAATACCACGAGATTTAGAACCCTACTTAAGTACTTGTTGTTCAAATCGAAGACACAATTCAGAATTAGAAGGAGGAGGAGCGTTCCCCGGGAGAAATTTATGATTAGACTGACGTTTCGAGTAGTTTTCTTGTCTACCCGTCTTCAGCGAATGCACACTCTGGCTCATGGTCCTCTTCTTTATCCACCTCTTTCGTCCGTGCGTGTGTTCTAACAATCATGGCTGAGTCACCATGTGTCTCGCGTCTCCTCCTCAGCCACCCCATCCACCCTGTCTGTCACCGTGCCGCGTGTGTTGGTGTCGCCCTCATGTGCTTTCTTTTCGCCTTCCCCCGTCGTGCCCCGAGTTGTTTCAGGCATCAACAAGTTAATCGCGGTCAGGCGTCATCTAACGACCTCACTGCAGCTGCGGGATGTGCAGTTATGTTGGAGAAAAGGGCCAATAACTAGAAACGCGAATAAATGAGCATAAGCTGGCAG